AGCCACGGATATTTATTTGGTCTATATGAAAATATAAATTTCAGAAATACAATGCTTCTTGAATTGAAAAATTGTATTTTGTCATTGTACCCTTAATTTCTTGTTGATATGATCTTAACTTCATAAAAGATTTAGCAATTTGCTCTGAAAAAGATGTTTTAGCAATTGCAATCGTATGTTGTAATATGGATTGTCGATTAATTGTGTTCATTACTTCAGTAGTAAAACTTCTTCCAGAATTTGGAATTGATGCTAAATACCTAATAAATATAAAGTATACTATAAATATGAATTGGATTTTAACATTTATACAATGATATCTTATTTATACTTACCCATTGAGTCTTTCAAAAGGAAAACACCAAAAACTATAGAAAGGTTCATAATTCAATAAGCATTCCTTAATATGCAAATGCATATGCATATTTGGAGTTGCAATTCCTGACCCCAAACTGATTCCAATTTAGTCAAAAAGTCTCTCATCGCTAAATCTCCATATTTAATTTCTTCACAACTAATTATAGTTTGTCCCCAAAGTGAAAGACAATCAATAAAAGATTGCCAGTAGCATCAATGATTTTCAGGAAGAATATCCCGTAAAGCCAAAGTTGAATAAATTAAACATCATGATTTCCATTGATCTGCCGTAAATCCAGCAAATCTTGATGCTATTTTAAGAGGTATACGACCTATATCTGAAGGAGGAGGAGTATTATCAATTATATTTTGTATTTTTTTAAGATCATGTGCAGAGATTAATGGTTGCTCGCCAGATGTCTACTCTTTTATCATTCGTTTAGTGATACTTAAATATAAATTGTGCATAGGATCTATAACAATGAATCGCCGAATATCCATATATAGAAGTTGCATCAATAGTATCTAACGGATACCATGTTCACTAAATATTTGGTTACTTATCGAAGAACTTGCATTTTTATATTCATAAGCAATATTCAGATGCTTCTCTCTAGAACGCTGTGGAAGATTAAAATTGAAATTACCAAAATCTGGTTTCCATTTACTTGTATTTCTATTCTGAATCATAGGAAAAGTATGATCACATCTATAACATCCTCTTTTAGAAGAATGACTAGAAAATCCTCTGATCTTATAATTAAAATATAGTTAAAATATAATCAAAATATAATAATAGTAAAATTAAAATAATACCTTTCGAGCTACAGGAGTATCACATGAAATCATTATTAAGGCTACACGATATATTCGACCAAATGGATAATTAGGAGTTTTGATAACTTGACCAGTCCATAATTGGAGAAATTCATCAACTAAAGGTTTAATATACTGATGGATTTCATTTACATCAGGCTCATGTGGACCAGGTATAATTCCAATAACAAAGGTGTTTTCTTCACAAAATCGTAAGTAGTGTGGTAAATTTAATATTATTAAATATAAAACACCAACAGAATATTAAATATTTTTACAAGGATTGAACCAATCCAAATTCAAAGCAAATCCTATATGAACTTCTAAAATGCTTTTAACAAAAAAAGGATGATTATCAGAACCAGTAAATTCTTTCCATACTCTTCCTTCATATATATCAGCAAATATATCATCCTCAATATCACGATCAAAACATGATTCTATTAAATCTTCCATCCCTGGTTTTGATAAAAATACTCCTAATTGACGAATTATTGAATGATATGGATAAACTTTAATTGGCTTAACCAGGTACTTTCCTTTAGAAGTTCGTATCATCTTGGTAATCAATTCATTACATTCACACTGGATATGTTCATTTTGTCATCAAGAATATCTAATAGATAAAGACGATGACAATGTAGACAAATAATATAATTTATATATACATTTTCGATCCCAATTAATCGATCACCACGGTATAGAGTTGAGGGAAAATCAGCAAATGTCACATCATTAAAAGAATGAAGTAATTCCTTTAAAAAATCTAATAATGTAGCATTTGCAACATAAGATAATATAAATGTATCTTGAAAAAGATACGCCTACAAAGTTACCCATTTTGTTACTTCATTTGAATTAAAAATCAGAGGATTGTGATCAATATCAATAGGATTATAATTAGTGTATAAATAATCTTCATTTGATTTTTTGTTAGGTGAATTTTGATCTTCTAATTCGTTGTATTTTGAAATATTTTTATCAGAATTAGAGTCTTCAATTGTTTCATAATTTGATATTGTTTCATCGAAATCAACATTATTGTCAGAAAATATAGATTCATTGTCTGTTTCAAATTCTTTATCTGAAGAATTTAATATATTAAAAAAATCATCATCTTGAGTAATGGATATTGGAGCTTTTTTTGGTTTTGTATTAGAACCAGTCGCAATGTTATTATTAATAAATTCTATTTCAGGTGAAGATCGATTTGAATAAATATTAAATTCAGTATTTTTAGATTTTTTTGCAACCATCCGTTTGGATTTGATATGAATTCTTGCAAATTATTTTCTTTTATTAAATGTCGATAAAATGTTTTCTTAAAACAATTGTGCCTTTGCAATTTTGACAATAACATTTTCGAGTATTCATTATAAAATACAAGAGTGTAAGATTTGGTTTTAGAAAAGATAAATTTCGTTAAAAAAATTATTTTAATTGTAATGATCAATATAAATAATATAATCATACGATCAACTGCGCCATAATTTTTATTAATAATCTGATTCTATTTACATTATAATTTATATACAAAAAACTTAAAAATTGCATACATCACCATCTATATACAGTAAATCATATGCAAAAGTATCGGATTTAACCCTTCACGTAGACTTCATGCATGCACATTATCAATCCTATTCATGTTTTATTGTAAAATATATCAAGTTAGTTCCATGATACACAAAAATCAAATCAATGTATTGATTTTTATTTTTAGTACTTTATAATTTTTTAAAAAAGGCGTTTATAAATCATATATAAATGAATTTTTTTTTTCTTCGTAACTATCAATTCTTATTCTTCGCAAACTTTCACTGGTTATTAATAAATCTTATTATTATTCTATTAATCTTGAAAGATGAATGCAAATACCTTTCTTTCAAATATATCTACAAGTCTGCGTCTTTTAGAAACAAAAACCAGTTTGATAGAGAAAGCAGTATCTACAACTTCAGAAAATATTAACGAAATTAAAAAATCTTTCAAAAGAATATAACTGAATTAACAACTTTGATACAACAACAAAAGAATTCTGTTAATGATAACATAACATCACTTGAAAGCATAATTGAGCAATTAAAAGTAAGTCAAGAAAATGTGATGAATGATGTTATATCTAAACTAGAAATTTGCATGGAAAAATAACAATGTAGCCTTCAAACTACAACTGGATTTCGTAAGAGAAGAAAATTCAAATCTATCGATGATTTACTTATAGCAGATTCAGAATCAAAGGTTATAAATAAAAATCACAATAATAATAAAGTAAACCCAAATCCATATGATTTAACTCCTACTCTGGTTGCTTTAATTCGAAGCAAAATGAAGGCAAATGAACAAGATGACAAAGATTCCAATGAAGTGATTGAAAATGAATTTGCTTCTGATTATTCCAAATCCTTCACTCATAAAATTAATCAAAGGATTCTTAAAGCATATTTGATATTTACATAAAAGAATATGAATTTCGAGGAGAAAATTTTAGTAAGTATAAATATATATTATTAATTTATTTTCTTAGTTTATCTAATTCTTTTAGAAAAAGGTGAAATGTAGATAGAAGAATCGATTCATCAGATTTGTTATACTTACTTTGGAACAAGACGTAACATTTTTAAAACTTCACCTGAAAAATTAAAGACTAAGAAAATTAATAGCTGTCGTAATAATAGAACATTAAAGGTTTATATATCATAAAAATTGAAAATACAAATAAAGTTTTCAATATAAATATCTAATGTTTTTTTAATTTTATAGAAGTTTCAAATGCGAAGAGATATTATTGATACACTTGACACGAAAAAACTAGGATATCTAATTAAAGAAGTCAAAGCACTATTTGCACAAGAGTTAATTTCACCTGAAATTAGCGAGGATGAAGATACAGTTGAACTGAAAAAAAGGACAAATCACTGATGATAATCAACTAATACTAGATGAAACATATTTTATCCCTGTTATTCTTTGGCGTAGTGATGAAGTATTAACTTTTAGGATCTTAAACTTTCGAATATATTATCATTAAATTTATTAATATTATGAATAATATGTTTATTTTCTGATTTTAGGCTATATGAGTGCATGGAATTATCGACAATGAAATAGAAAAATAACGTCAATTAAAATTATGCAAGAATTCGATTGGTAGAAAAACAAACCCTACCGACGCATAACAGTAACTCCAAATAAAGCCAGATTTCGCTAAGTAGCACCATTCATCCTAGCCTGTCCAACATCATCAAACTTTCCACAATGGGCTATTAAGTTATTTGATATAAATACAATTCTTTCAAATACTATCGATTCAGATTCTGAACCTGAATTTACAAGTCGAGATGCAAGGATTTATAGGGATGATAGAAATTCTAAACAATCTACCGTCGATAGCTATGACATGAACTTGGCTATCTCTGCTCTAAATACTAACTTTACAGAGCTTCCAGGTACATATATTCTAATATTTTGACTTTTAACTAATATATATAATAATTATTTTTAATTTTAGAAAACTTTGAAGACGATTTAATGAAATCATTGAACAATATTGATGAACAATGTGCAACTTTATTCTCAATTGGTAATAATGATCATGTAATATTTATTAATATTATTTTGAACTCTCTTTTATAATTTTACTTAATATATTTATCATTATAGTTAAAATTTTATGCTTATAGATATCAACAGATCCACAATATATTATTGATTCGCATTCTGATATTTCATCTAATCATGAAATATATTCTACTGGGCCTAGTCTTAATCCTAATAACATGTCTGAACAATTCCTTTCCTATCTGGCTGAATCAGATAATAGCATTAGAAAGCAGAATGATAATGCGAAAATTAAATATGGAAAACAACGAGCACCATTTAAGGATAAGACTAACGATGATATTATGAAACTGACTAATCCCACAAAGATTGTAGAACGGCGTAAATTAAATATGAAACCATTATCTAAAGATAAGACTAACGATGTTAGTAATTTCACGAAACTGACTGAACCTCTTACGAAGACTATAAAATGACGTAAATTAAATATAGAACATATACCACGAGTTACCCGTTTCAGAACCAAAACTTCCTCATAAACTGGTATGTTTGTTTATTGATCTAATTTTTTTTTCATTCATAATATTCAGCCATTCATCGACAAATATATTACCTAGTTTCGGATACCTATCACCATTCACATCACGATACATTAAATTCATTACATCAACCTTCATACTTGTTATGCCGTTTATATTGCAATAATAAAGATATATAATAACATATTATAGTGAATGTAATCAAGATATATATAATGGTATATACTAAATATCTCAATCGAAAATCCAAATATACCTAAGATTTCATTGAACATTTTGTTATAATATATACCAAATATATCAATCGAAAATCTGAAGCATATTTATTAATATCAATGTCATGGAAACTGTATAGAAATGGGACAAGTTTTCACTGTATTTCTGCAGTATAAATTTAATGGATTTTAATGATAAATCAATAGGAAATGGACCATGTCTATAAAATTTATCATTTATAAATGTATGTTATATCACATCACTTCGACCAGTGTAAGAGAACTATCTGTATAGAATTAGAGAAAATTAGCATTAGTAAATTGTAATTTAAGTTATTTTAATCTATTTATTGAAGGTTGATCAAAAGGAAGAATTAATCAAGTAAGGGTTTGGTTGGATATTAGTAGAAGAAGGTTAATATTGATAAGGTTAATTCTTATAGCATAAAGTGTAAAAGGCTGCAACACCATCCTTCATGCAGTTTGTGAAATACTTTAAATACAGAACAATAAGTTTTGGGTAATTTTATAGTATAAAAGCTATGTCTTTATTGTTATTTGTACAGAATGAGAGCAGAGTGATCAAATAGATCGTATCTGATATAAGGAGCAATAGGTGTCAGGTTACAATTTGACTGAGATAATAGATAGTATTATGCATGAATGATTGTATCTTCCTCTTTGGTAACTTTTCCTAGGATAAAGGTCATGTATTGATTGGACTAAATAATTACAAAAGTTAGATTAGTTGACGATGTTATAAATATAGTGATTTGTGTTAAAGCTTTGATTAGAGATGCATAAGGGGATATCTATTGGACAATTGTCTGATGGATATATTGATCAAAATTTTTGATTCCAGTTAGTTAAACCATTTAGATCTATAGAATACTGAGTCATAGATTATATTAAGATCAAAAGCTGTGAATAGATTGAGACCATCCATCATAAAGAGTTGATCAATATACAAAATTGATAATGATTATAATCACAGAACGTTTTGCTGATAAAATTTCAAGGTAAAGAAATTTGAAATGGGAATAGATCTACCTTCAATTTGTCTTAAGTTGTAATCAGTGTCCATACATTGTTGAAAGTGAAAACCATCATGTTTTGCAGCAGACAAGAAACAAGACCACTATTCTTTAAACAGTTTTAAATTATCATAAGGCTAATTTGTTAAAGTAGTAGAGGTAACATTCAAATAACTGAAGTTGCATATTGTGTAGTCATGATGTTAATCCAAAAATTAAGATGTCATTAATCATCTTTAATAGATCAGATGATTTAGCTTGCATTTGTTTATCATAAAAGTGTGTAAGATTGTATTCAAACATTAAGTGTATTACTGATGCTGAAACGAATCTTGAGAGACCTAACTTCTTTTTAAGAAAAGTTCTAAAAGATGTTATCAAAATGTCACAAGTAGAATAAGAAATAAACGTAAGTTTAGTTTTGTATAGTATTCGAAGGATTACTACTACATTGAATATTGTGACCATATGCTTAGCTGTTAGTTTCTTCTTATTAAGTACAGTTTTTGTTTTCTTGAATTCATTCTAGATTTGATTTATAACGAACTGATTATTGTTGAAAAGGGAGACCCATACTTTAGATATTATGTTGATTCTTTATTTAGAAGATGAGAGAGTCAGATATCTTTATTATTGAATTTGAAATTAACTGAATTAGAGTCTTTGTCATTGATCATCAACACAGATTTGTTTTGGTTAACTTGAATACTGTTTAGAGTGTAGAATGAATTTGCGATGATCATTATATTTTAAAGATCAGTTCAAGAATTAGCTATCTAGAGTGTATCGTCTATATATGTGAGCACAGAAATGTGATTTAAAAAACTCTGTATCTCTTGTTTAGTGACTGATTAAAACAAAACAATCATTATTATACCAATATCTATATTGATAAAGTAGTATTACAATCTTTACTTGAAAATAGACTAATTGATGATAAACTTAAATAGCTCAAAGATGTAAGAGAACACTCTGATAATAATAATGTCAATGATATTTCTAAAAATATAATAAGAAGTAACTTTATTCCTACATCTTTTCTGTCTTCTAATAAGAAACGAGCTATTGATAAAACTCTTAATCAGATACAAGCTGATGATGCTCCTATCATATGGTCAAACATAGATGGAAATTCTATCAATGAGTTTCAAACTCTCAGTTATATTGCTTATGCTTTTTCATATTTGTATCTAACCAGAAATGCGAATTTTCATTCTTTTTATGCTATAGATGTTAAACTTGCAAAGTATTTTTTGCATTTATTAAAATATAAAGATGGAAGATTCAGTCATCATCCTTGTTAATATTATTTTATGTTAAATTTGCAAATGAGATAGAGGCGCTGCAGTATACATTAGGTAAGTTTTAGATGGTAAATAATATACTATTGAAGAAATATAAGAGATAGTTGAAAATGACAGTCATATAGCAGATAGAATTGTTTGATTTAGTGAAGGGTTATATAGAAGCTGCCAATTTTGGATTAAGCGATAATTTGAACTTATTGACTTGATTAGACAGTTAGACTCACAAGGAATGATTTTTTTCATTTTCAGTACTGTTAATTTACACGATCAGAGTTGCAAAACTAACAGATCAAGATGTGAACAGATACAGGCGTCAAGATTTGATTGATAATTTTCATATTACCACATAGTTTTTTGAAAAACATTTTAAATTATTTCTGAACAATGTATTGATTTCTAAATAGAACCTTAAGGATTGGTGATATTGCTTCGAATAGTAACACTATGACAGTACTCATGTTTATAGCATTGGGAAGAGGAAGGATATACCAAATATTAATTGAGAAAAAATAAAAGAAGATAAAGAAATGATGAGTAACATGGTACAGTATCTAAATTCGTTAGTTATAATAATTAATTCTAGGCTAGACGCACCTGTTCTCGATCATTATCTATATCAGAAGAAATATATGACAATTTACAAGATTACATCAAATTAGTAAATAAATTATAATGATATACTAGATGTAATTCTTCATATTGCCTTTGTATAGATCATGCAGGTCAACAGCTTTGTAGATTTAGTTTTCTGAAAGAAATCATAAAAGAAATGTACTTATGTTGTTAACGTTACTCTTTCTGCCGAATAAGTTAACTATGATTTGAAGTCAGGGAGGCAATAGCTATAACTTAAATCCAATCATCTTGACACGCTATTTATTAGAGAGTTTATTTAGTTAACAAGAATAAAATTATAAGTTTTATGTTTGCAAAATGTTAAGAGTATTTATTATTGTTAAATGTATATTGAATACAATATTGAGAACTTGTTGGAATCTGTCCTTTTTCCAAGGCATTTTCATGCCCTTTATATAGGAAAATTACAATTAAAGAAAATCTATGGTATTTATGATACTACTGACAATAATAACAGAGCTAACAGATATGCTAATTATGTTAAATATATAATAAATGATATAAATAATAGAAATATAATAAATAATAAGTGTATCCTATTTGGCAGATATGGCATATTCGATAGGTCTGTTAGTTTCTGTCGGTTTCAATTTTCTTCCCTAAATTTTAGTTTCTGGACTAAATCAACATAGCTTCTTCCATTAGAGATTGATAATTTTTCTTTTTTATCGAGCATATTTTAGGAAGACTTAAGTATCGAGTATGTTGAATTTGTTTTGGTCCCAGAAATTCAAAGATGAAATAAATTCGTATTGATGCAGTATAATAATACTTAGTTATTATGCTTTTAAAATAGGTACGTTGAACTGGTGAAAAAGTTTCTTTTCTAATAACTATCCTAAATAGAAAGCATTCGTCAACATCAATATACGGTCCCTAAGGGTTAAGGCTCTCCTTAGCATATGATAAGTTATTTCTATTTTTCTTTTCAGCTTCATATTCTCAGTATAAAAAGGTATAGTAAGGATAGGATTGTTAAAAATTTGTCTTTTCAAAACACTTTTGAAATCTTCTAAGGACATGATAAAAAAAATTAAATAATAAAAAAAAAATATAAATAAATAAATAAATAAATAAAGGAGTCAATAAACTATATAACTATTTGAGGTTCCCAATTTTATCGATCATGATATTGTTTTAAAAGATCTTCATTAACAGGTGTTTGTAAAACTTTTCTATTCATTTCTCTTATTTTGTAAGATCCATTTAACAAAATTTTATGAATGTAGTATGGTCCTTTCCATTTTGGTTCTAATTTTCCAGACTATTGCTTTTCTTTTGCCGCATGGTAATACAAAACTTTATCTCTTATTTTAAAATGAAAGATCTTCTTTAGGTTACGATCATGTCGATTTTTCTGATTTACTTATGATTTTTCCACATGGTTTTTAGCTTTTCTCCTGATTTGCGGTAGATCATCTATTAAAGATTCTATATGCTGATTTAGAGTCACATTTTTCTTAATTGGTTCATCAAGAGACAATCGTTCATCTCTTCCATATGTTAGGTAAAAAGGGGATATCTTTGTTGTAGATTGCTTAGAAGTTCAATATACAAATAAAGTGGATGCAATTTGCAAATCCCAATTTAAAATTTCTTAGGCAGTTTTAGCTAGAGATTTACATAAAGTCTTATTAAGTTTGAACTACCTATTTTAGAAACACATCGTAAATAAGGAGAAAACCTAACAATTTCAAGAATAATATTTGAAATAATTGATTCTAGTACTTTTTGGAAAAATCTTG